CTACACATGCATACAAGGTCATGTTATCTCACTTACCAACTACAGCTCACTACACATGCATACAAGGTCATGTTATCTCACCAACTACAGTTCACTACACATCCATACAAGGTCATGTTATCTCACTTACCAACTACAGTTCACTACACATGCATACAAGGTCACGTTATCTCACTTACCATCTACAGTTCACTACACATGCATACAAGGTCATGTTATCTCACTTACCAACTACAGTTCACTACACATCCATACAAGGTCATGTTATCTCACTTACCAACTACAGTTCACTACACATGCATACAAGGTCATGTTATCTCACTTACCTACTGCAGTTCACTACACATCCATACAAGGTCATGTTATCTCACTTACCAACTACAGCTCACTACACATCCATACAAGGTCATGTTATCTCACTTACCAACTACAGCTCACTACACATGCATACAAGGTCATGTTATCTCACTTCCCAACTACAGCTCACTACACATCCATACATGGTCATGTTATCTCACTTACCAACTACAGTTCACTACACATGCATGCAAGGTCATGTTATCTCACTTACCAACTACAGCTCACTACACATGCATACAAGGTCATGTTATCTCACTTACCAACTACAGCTCACTACACATGCATACAAGGTCATGTTATCTCACTTACCAACTACAGCTCACTACACATCCATACAAGGTCATGTTATCTCACTTACCAACTACAGCTCACTACACATGCATACAAGGTCATGTTATCTCACTTACCAACTACAGCTCACTACACCTCCATACAAGGTCATGTTATCTCACTTACCAACTACAGCTCACTACACGTGCATACAAGGTCATGTTATCTCACTTACCAATACTAGTTTATTAGACATTTGTATGCAGTCACCTCATCAAACATTTATACAACTTTGTTTATATTACCTGGTCATAGTTTCAAAAGCATTTATACAAGCTTTTCCTCATACCAATTATATTTTAAAAACAATTACCCAAGGTCATCTCTTCCGTCAATCAAAGTTCACTTAACTTTGTACATGTCACGGATAATTCATAAAAAGTTTTTTTTTTATCTGATCAATCAAAGCATTTAACAAAGCATTCAAGTAATCATTGGTACAATGTTATTTCTTTTACCAAACATATTGATCACGAAACGTTTCTTATATCAGAGGTCATCTCAACACACTTTAGTGGTCATCTCATCGCAATTTAGTGGTCATTTCGTCTCACTTAAGTGGTCATCTTATCACACTTAAGTGGTCATCTTATCACACTTTAGTTGTCATCTCATCGCACTTTAGTGGTCATCTTATCTCACTTTAGTGGTCATCTCAACACACTTAATGGTCATCTCATCGCACTTTAGTCGTAATCTCATCTCACTTTAGTGGTCATCTCAACACACTTTAGTGGTCATCTCATCTCACTTTAGTTGTCATCTCATCATACTTTAGTGGTCATTTTATCGCACTTTAATGGTCATTTTGTCTCACTTAAGTGGTCATCTCATCATACTTTAGTGGTCATCTCATCGCACTTTAATGGTCATTTTGTCTCACTTTAGTAGTCATCTCATCTCACTTTAGATGTCATCTCATCGCACTTTATTTGTCATCTCATCACACTTTATTTGTGATCTCATCGCACTTTATTTGTCATCTCATCACACTTTATTTGTGATCTCATCGCACTTTAGTGGTCATCTTATCGCACTTTATTTGTCATCTCATCGCACTTAAGTTGTCATCTCATCGCACTTAAGTTGTCATCTCATCGCAATTAAGTTGTCATCTCATCGCACTTTAGTGGTCATCTCATCGCACTTTATTTATCATCTCATCGCATTTAAGTTGTCATCTCATCGCATTTAAGTTGTCATCTCATCGCACTTTAGTAGTCATCTCATCGCACTGTAGTGGTCATCTCATCACACTTAAGTTGTCATCTCATCGCACTTTAGAGGTCATCTCATTGCACTTAAGTTGTCATCTCATCTCACTTTAGTTGTCATCTCATTATACTTTAGTGGTCATCTCATCATACTTAAGTTGTCATCTCATCTCACTTTATTTGTGATCTCATCGCACTTTAGTTGTCATCTCATTATACTTTAGTGGTCATCTCATCGCACTTTAGTTGTCATCTCATCGCACTTTATTTGTCATCTCATCGCACTTTAGTAGTCATCTCATCGCACTTTAGTGGTCATCTCATCGCACTTAAGTTGTCATCTCATCGCACTTTAGTGGTCATCTCATCGCACTTACGTTGTCATCTCATCGCACTTTAGTGGTCATCTCATCGCACTTAAGTTGTCATCTCATCGCACTTTAGTGGTCATCTCATCGCACTTAAGTTGTCATCTCATCGCACTTTAGTGGTCATCTCATCGCACTTAAGTTGTCATCTCATCACAATTAAGTGGTTATCTAATCACACTTAAGTGGTTATCTCATCACACTTTAGTGGTCATCTAATCACAATTAAGTGGTTATCTAATCACAATTAAGTTGTCATCTCATCGCACTTTAGTGGTCATCTCATCGCACTTAAGTAGTCATCTCATCGCACTTTAGTGGTCATCTAATCACAATTAAGTGGTTATCTAATCACACTTAAGTTGTCATCTCATCACAATTATGTGGTTATCTAATCACAATTAAGTTGTCATCTCATCGCACTTTAGTGGTCATCTCATCGCACTTAAGTAGTCATCTCATCGCACTTTAGTGGTCATCTAATCACAATTAAGTGGTTATCTAATCACACTTAAGTTGTCATCTCATCACAATTAAGTGGTTATCTAATCACAATTAAGTGGTTATCTAATCACACTTAAGTGGTTATCTAATCACACTTTAAAAACATCTATCGCTTATTTTCCCATGCGTACGAGACGAGGGCGTTATCGTCTAAAATGATAAAAGTCACCACTTATTTGATTTGTTCCACAAGAGGCGGAGAAGAATTTAGACTCGATCAAGATTGTCGTTTCAAAAACAGTTTTCGCTGAAAATTATTTGCTTTCGTTCACAGAAGAGTTTCTATAACTTACATGTCGTCTTTCAATTGGCTATGAATATCTGAAGATGCTTAGAAGATGCAGCACAAGTGCCCAGGAGAATGTAACCGATATTGCGATTATGACGTGGGTCCGGGGTCAGTCGTATTATGTCAATTCCATACTAATGACAATTGACAAACATTTTAAAATTTTAATATTCATTAATCTAGTGTCATTTCAAACGATCAAGTGCAGTTTCACTAAATGTTAAATAGTTTATATTTTACTGTACAAATCACAGTCCACTACGAATTTAATATCTCTCAAACCCATCACAGCACACATGACATAATCATCGTGTCATCTATCTTACCAACTACAACATACTTGAATATTTTATATTATTTTATTTTCCTATCATATTAAACTAAATTTTATTTCACTTTCTAATCGTACAGCGTAATTAGATTTGTCTTTCATAGCTTCTTAGAAAAGTGCAGATACACAACATTACACTGTCTTTAGATTTCAAATTTGTAAACTTTGTAGAATAATGCATACATGACAATATATTAAATTATTTCCCTATTTGCTTAAAACATTTACTCTTGTCATTAAAGACAAAATGAAAATAGTAACACATTGTAATTTCTACGCTTTCTGGAAATATTAGTAACAACTACACACCTATATTACAATGACTGTACATAGATTGGTTGATTTTCATGGAAATCTATTGGTTATTTTTAGACGCTATTGATGTAAGATATGACACGTGGACAAAGCTGTATACTCGTGCAATCTTTGATAAATGTACGCATGTTAAGTATTCATATATGAATAATACATCAAGACAGGCATTTTTGTAACAACATTTGAAGATGAAATCCTTTGACAAACAAATCCTCGCCAAAATGATTTCCTGAAATACATATATGTTGAATAAATTTGCGAATATCGCTGTCATATCTAGCTTCTCTGTAAGATGTAGATAAAAAACTAAAAGCAAAAATTGTTAAATACTTTTACATATAAGACAAATCTGAGATCTTTATCAACCTAAAAACAGTATTTAATAGTCAAATATCAAACTCTGTATATATCATCTGGAAACACTCTCCACATTTTAATGTGTTTTAGATCGTGTTATGCTAATCTATGTATACGGGACATTTCAGAACAGAAGATTCAAATGCTAAAACAAAATAAATAAATAAAATACAGCAGACATTTCAGAAAATGATCGGGATCATGAAATGACACTGATATTCATAAGCTGTATTACATATCGCATATAAGCATTCCAAAACTTCCAAAACGAACTGTGTAGGGTGTGCTCCCTAGCTTACTTACAGATTGATCAACGATATGAAATTAAGTTTCGTTCATGATTAAAACATGTTAAACCTAACCAGTATCAATGTCAGGTGATGTTTGAAGATTCTGCTGAATTCTTTTAGAAGTATCTACTTTTCTAATTGTAACTGCCAGCAGAATGTTAAAATTATAAAATCGAGAACGAACACTTGGCAATGTAAAATAGATTTGTATTTTTTTTCTTATCTCCATAGAGTGTATCAGTCATCAAAACGTTTTCAGAATGCAAACAAAATAGATTGATTTATTATAATGGTTGCGACAAACAGAGTATACACGAGTGCTGATTATCAACACGATAAATAAAGCTTTTATCATTTCAAAACTGATATAAAAAAATCACAGTCGCTGACAGCTTGGTTATCGATTTTCAGTTCGAAAGCTTTATACGTTGAAGGTCTTTCCTGAAAGTGTTCTGACGGTAATCAATGACATCAGATTTTATTTTGAATAGTTAAAGTAACAAACAAATTAAACGTTTTGGTAAATTACCTTAAATGTTTTTAATGAAATTATCATTGCGAAAAATGCGCATCGATATTTAATGATATTTTGATACCAATATTACCATGTTAAAATGCATGTGTATATTAGTAATTTGAGGCTCGAACCTTCACAGCAATACTGTATATTTCTCTACGGTAAAAAGCATGCTAACACATCGCCGATGCATTAATACTGTGAGCGAGAGTAATGACGTAGTTATCTCCCTTCACTGGAATTTTTCTTTATATGGTATAAGTTTGAGATGTTTTGCCTATAAGTCGGTTGTTTCTAGGACATTTTTAGCACTGGGAAGATGTTGACCTTGAAGCACTATACTCCTTGGTATTCTTCTGACAGTTCTTGGAGGTTTGCTACAATCTCCTGTGCTTATGGTGTGTACTGTCTGTGTGTCACCTGTAGGAGGTTTATACTCACTCTCAACCGAGTTCATTCGCTGTAACTTTTTTGTGTCTATATCACAAACAAATTCGAGAGAACTGAGAGATGGAGGATGGCCAAAAGAATTATTTGGAAGTTTCTTAACGGGACTTTGTAAGCGACCCTCGTGGGAATGCGGTGGACTAGAGGAATGACCCGGATGTGCCTGTGGCAGACGATAGGAATGACCCGGGTGTGAAGGAAGAACATGAGCTGAACCACCTATTAGTTTCGGTTGTTTCTCAAATTGACATTGTACATGAGGAGGAAGTGACTCTGGGGGAACATAGACACTTCCGTTGAGTTCTTTCTGTAATCTACGGTCTGGAGGACCGTCACTATGGCGACGTTCCAAAATTTGGTGTTCACTATTATTAAGGTAAATATTATCACAACTCTTGTTGGCTTTTGCACGCCAGTCATCACTATTATTGGAAGGAATGTTGTCTAAATGAATTTTGGGAAACAACGAAGTTCTAGTCTTTGTTCCTTGGGAGTTGGCCTTCTTACCGGAAGAGCAAGGCACGTCTAGTGTACACCCTCTCTGGTGACTGGGCATATCTATCACATTATCTTCAGACGTTGGAGATCCGAAGGAAAATTTGGGTTTTGTATAAGGTGTAAAAGGTGTATTTGGAGGAGATTCCGAATGAACACTTGGATTTGGAGTGAGAATTTCGATTAGAGATTTCAATCGTTCATCCATATGTGATAATTCACTTCCTATTGTATCCACCTTCCTTTCTATCTGGAAAATATTCGATTTCGTGCCTTCGAAATCCGTCTGTAGGTTTTGCAATGAAGTTGATAGTGTTTCTAAACCGGTACCCTTTTCAGCTGAAAACGAAAAGAAGAAAACAACAATAATTGGTAGTAATATATGTATTCTTACAGTAAGAAATAAAATTACGTCATCTATCCATTTCCCGCTTATTCTGTACTATATAATGCAGTGTCTACTGTCAAATATGGCACACTCATTGCAAAGAACTGGATTCTGATGCTTTACAAAACTCAATCCCAATCTTATAAGAGTCTTTGACTAAAATTCATACCCAATGTCATTTGAGGGCGAGAGTTAGTCATAAAATGCATTTTATGATGTGTCATATTTTATTCGAACTTATTCGATACATAAAGATATCAGTTCGTAAACAAAAACATTCAACGTAATATAACTTCAAATTTAATTTATCCAGTCTAATATTCAAATATCATTTGAAAACATGTTATTTAAAAAATAAAGATGTTCTTGACGTTCTTCAAAAGTTATCAGATATACGAAATTAAAAAGGAAAAAAAAATCGTGGGGTTAATACATATGATGATGACATAGAAGCGACAGATACCAGACATGATGATGTAACACAGTGTTAACGAGCAAGGCTATTCATAAACAAATAGGACTAAGACCGAAACATAAAACTGGGAAATGTATATCTTAAATGTTGAAATCTCAGCTTAAACGTATTTGTCTCTTCAACTTAAATTGGAACTGACATTAAATAGAGAATTAAGTCTGAATTACATATTGTAATCCTAAGATCTTGTTTGGAATATGGGAGAGAAGTCTTAGATGGTTGTAGCTATGTAGATTCGGACAAATTGGAAAATAAAGTAGTCAGAATAGTTATAGGTCTAACCTCATTTACACTTGAATTGTTATATAATGAAACAGAACATTAGAAACTCATGAAAAATCAAAAACAGAAAAAAAAACATATTTAATATTCTAGAAAATGAACTATATTTAGCTCTGTCTTACTTAAGTAACATTTTGTCTGATATTATAAACGTATCTGGTGTCTAGAATTCAAATATAATACAGATTATTTATCACCAAGGTGTCACCTAGTACTGCATGACGAATCTTTTCTCCTTGATAAACTGATGATGTCGGATATCTTATTTTCTTTCTTAAGATCTTCAGAAACCGAATCTAAATTTCACAGTTATATAAAGAGGAAACACACCTGAAACAGACTAAAAGTTTGAGACAGAAGATTATATATCGACTCTACAACAGTATACAAATGCTTGGTTAGTTTGTTATTGGCTTTACGTCCTATCAACAGCCAGTGTCGTTAAAGGACGTGCCAGGTTTGGATGTTGGAGAAAAGCTTGGATTTCAGGAGAAAAATCACCGACCTCGGCACCTGTCAGCTACACCAGGTAGGTCTAAAACTAGTGGAGGTCTAGTGATAAATAGGTCAGACATCTTTTTTGAAATCATAAGTTAATGTCCAAGTAATAGGGCCTCGCAGGGTTGGGGTTAAAGTCAGACGTCTTGACTACTCGACCACCGCGGTCCCTACAGAATAATTCGGACAGTGGTTCCACCTATTTTTACGAAAAGAACACAGGATTACCCGCGTTGGCGAGGTTACGTTGCTTCCTGAGCGAAGATCGACGGAATGGTGTGCTGTAATTCCGCTTTGTTGCGGGACTGGAACTCGTGACGTGGCCTCTCTTGATTGATGGGGGACTCGTCAGATCTCTGTGTACCACACTAAAGAAAACATAAGGAATACTTATCATTCATTATATATCAATATAACTATTCATATTAACATTGACTCTTGTTCATAAGTACTTAGATACCAGAGTAAATCAACGAGTTGTCTCCCCTTCACTGTCCTTGCTTTTATAATAACAACACAAATCATCAGTAGCTCCAGGAATTAAACTATAACTGAGATGATTTCGCTGATCATACAGACAAGATAAATGACATAACACATCTGTATAAACTAAACTGATAAATCACATATACCGCGGAGTAAGTATTCTGTATACCTGCTGAGCTTATCTATGTCTCCATTTGGTATAGTGAACGTAAAGGATTTGTCGGCTAATAGTGGAGAGGAGGGACTGGACTCGCGGCCACCATCTCTCTGCGAGTTAGGACTGCTGGAGTTATCTGCCCGATGGAACACGTGATCACTATCTGTCTCCTCATCATCTTCTGATATCGAAGGTAAAGTCATTACCCTAGTAATGGGTAACTTCTCTTCATATTCACCCTGTAAATACAAACATATTCACCCTGTAAATATAAACATATTCAATCATATTCACCCTGTAAATATAAACATATTCACCCTGTAAGTATAAACATATTCACCCTGTATGTACAAACATATTCCCCTGTAAATACAAACATATTCACCCTGTAAATATAAACATATTCCCCCTCTAAGTATAAACATATTTATCCTGTAAATATAAACATATTCACCCTGTAAGTATAGACATATTCACCCTGTAAATACAAACATATTCACCCTGTAAATATAAACATATTCCCCCTGTATGTACAAACATATTCCCCTGTAAATACAAACATATTCACCCTGTAAATATAAACATATTCCCCCTGTAAGTATAAACATATTCATCCTGTAAGTATAAACATATTCACCCAGTAAATACAAACATATTCACCATGTAAATATAAACATATTCACCCAGTAAATACAAACATATTCACCCTGTAAACCTGAAATGATTAAGTATAAGTAATCATTGAATAGAATACTGATTGTGTTTCTGTTTTGACTACCAATACAATCAATGACAAGACTTGTAATTTAAACTCATGATGAGAATATTCCAGGGTGATAAACAATGAATGACACTTTTGTAAACATACAATTATTATGTCATTTGACAGTTGACGTCACGCGGTGACCTTCGGTGGCAATGTTTCTAAAGCTGGCAGAATTGCGATTTAGATGCATGACTGGCGCTGACGTCAAACTCATGTGTGTCGCTTTACCGATTTATTTGTTTATTATTTTTAATTTTTTTTTCGGTTTAAACATAGAATAAAACGAACTGTTAATTGTTATTTATGACGTAACCAATCATACAATGTACCTTTATCATTTCAGAAAAATTGATTAATTGTCAATCACAGTTATGTTCAAAAGTAAATTACATTTTAAAATAAAACACAAACAATGATGTCTTCACGATGTAATATAATAACCAAATCACAAAAATTAAAGTACACACGTTGAGAACAGGTCGCTGAAAAAGTGTAATTAAAGGACGTTACTAAACTAGAAGTCTGAGTAACTGGTGACGTTGATACCACGTCATTTTAACATGATCAGTTATCTAACTTACATATACATCTGATAATGCCGGTAATGACGTCATACAATCTATCAGTGACGTCATAAAGTATAACAGTGACGTCACTAAGTAATTTGATAATATCAGAAATGACTAGTTTTGGAAATGATCGGTTCCCAACAAGTTGTTATAAGATATTTATATCCACTTACGTCGGATTCGTCAGTTCCTTCCTTCAAATTGTAGGTGAGATCGTGGCGGATATCCTGAGAAAACTTTTCAGCAAAGTCTGGATATAGATTAAGGACCTCAGCTAAACCTTTAACATTGATTCCCTGAAGTTCACAATACGTCAACGATCTGACGTCACAGCACGATATCCCAATCGGGTCCTCCAGGTTAATATCTGTCCCGAATAAATCGCCCTTTCCTATAAAAACAATGTAATTAATGATTTAATCCTACGTACGGTTAGGATATCAATGAATATATAGGTTGTGTTTTATTGTGAAACACATATAACAGGAAGAATAATGATGACGGACATTGTTCATTGTAAATGTCTAAGCTGATATGCCCCTTTATCAAGCTTACTAACCATTGAACAGGTAAACACTGAAAATACCTACATGGCAACATGATTTTTGATCAAACTCAAAGTTTAAGGTAATTGGGGCAAAATAGGAACAAAATAATGATGAACATTTGAGAATAATAATAAAAAGTACAAAGTCGAAGAGAATTGGGTACCACATAATTAAATGTATGATGAATATCGGAGAATCATTGGAAAAGTACAAGGAGAATAAGACCAGATGTTATGGAGGAGTAAGCGTCTTTTGTTTCATCAATGAACCCCGCCGTATAAATTTTAGTCATACCAAGTAGTAATGTCACGTTCTCAAATAAGAACAGTGTAAACAACAACGGAACCAACATGCAAACTTAAGGTTATATAACAATGTATAGAAAATCAGACATCTTGTACGTGAAACTGTTTGATGTTGGTAATATGACTTCCTTAGACCCACAGCAGCCGAAGTTTATGGACCTATAAAGATGGTACATTGTAGAGATAGATAAAATTAGAATAGTGTAAAATTTTGACGAGAACAAGATCAGAAGTTACGCGTTATCTACTTAATTGACAACACCTAATCGATATAAGCAATATCACATTCTAAAAAGACAGACGTTGTAAAACAGCCCATATCAGACGTGAGCACGGAATATATACACTTACCAGAAGGAAATACGATATTATCACGTTACAAAACTACTCTAAGCTTCATCAAATTGCATCTCTCGAAATCTTTAGCTGCATGTTTTACAATCATAGGATTCATTTTGTCATATATTCAATTTGGCCTGGACAAATCGAATTTAAACTGAAAATTGATAAATGAGACTGGAAACAGCATTTTTTATTGATCGCAACATGTAAATGAGAAGAAATTGAAATATAACAAAATTGTTATCACTGTCTCCGTACCGAGTATCGCCACAACCATTTCTGTCTTGAGGACCTCCATGGAACCGCTACACAGCAAATACACGTAATTGATAGTGTCTCCTTTGTGAATGATAAACTCCCCGGGGGCGGAGAATGCTCTACGGGTATGCAGGGAGATGGCCTTTAGACAACCCTGTGTCGCGTTCTCAAATATGGCAAGAGACAGTAGGTCTTTATGTAGATGTAATGAAATTTCGCCTCTCATTTCGTCTGGGAAATCTTTCAGGATCTGCAAAAAACCAAATAAGCTTTTTTAGGATTCATTTGTGTGGGTGTGTGTGGGTGTGGTGGTGGTGGTGGTGGTGGTGGTGGTGTGTGTGTGTGTGTGGGTGGGTGGTGGTGATGTATGTGTGTGTGTTTGTGTGTGTGTGTGTGTGTGTGTGTGTTTGTGTGTGAATTGTAGCATTTGCATTTTTCTTTTTTTCTTCGTTTTTATTTATTTGTTTTTTGGGGTTCTTTTTTGTTTGTTTTTTGTTTTTGTTTTTTTTCTTTTGTTTTTGTTTTTTTTTTTACTTATTAATCATGTTTTATAACAGCTTGGAACATGTTTTATAGTGTATACATCTATATCATCGATCTTCTGATTCTGTTTAAGAAAGGATTCCAATGTTTCTATCACCAAAATAGTAAAAACATTACAAACTATTCTAAAGATATTATATACCGAATCTATAGACGTCACTTAAAATACCTATAACTTTATGATCTTATACCGTATCATTGACTCAAGCTTATAACATCTCGGACTGTTAGATAATGGAAATACAGCATGGCTACTTACACAAATGCCGAGGAATATCATTATGACAAAGGCTTCGAAATGCCAATGAAGAATTTCCAGTATATATTCAGAACAGTGTTGGATAAAAACCGTGTCCCGCACTACTGATAAACCTCACGAGGAATAAACTAGAGCACATGAAATCGGTCGATCGTCGATGGAATGGGACTTGAAAAATGACTCTGTTCTGGTAGTGATACCAGTGTTCTACGCTGCTCTACCGATGTAAGTGATGATGTGTAACAAATACAACGTTGCTGACACCTAAGCATTTTTATGTTATAACGGGCGCCACCGCAAAATGGACAACCGTAGCGGTGTGGGAGAACATGTACATATCAGTGTTAGTACCGTCGTCAGAAATCGACAAATTTTGCCCTGGTATAGCCACGGTATAGCCCCGATGTGTCAGCGATCTACGAGAGAACATTAACACGGATATACACCTATCAATTTGAGACATGACGTCATCTTAATTAACTCTGAAACATAGTATACAATATTCAACTATTATATAAGTAGGTATATCAATTCCAGTTACCTCCCCTGCCTCCATGCCATTATTCATGGACCACATGGTCTGGAAATATTCCTGCATACGATGTTTAAGAGGTTTCGGGATGTGATGGGTGCGGAAAAAATCCTTCAGGTCTTTCGTTCTGGAATGGTAGGTGGCTCGACGGGCGTACATCCTCTGTATGATAGCTGTGACGTTACCGAATACGACGGCGTGGAGCATAGCTAGGGGCAAATAACATGTATTATCACACAAATAAAATTTCTCAAATTGGCATTTTACACGTATAGTAGCAGTTTTAAAGACAAAAACGTCTTTGCAATAGTTGGTGTTCAGCATGAACAGTACTAGAAGGAGGAATGAAGAACTATTGAACAAAAATATCAAAGACATTTCGAAATCAACTTACCACCAACAAGCATGGCACACACAGAAAAGATTTTCTCGGCGTTGGTATTAGCGGAGACGTTCCCAAATCCTACACTTGTCAAACTACTGCAGGTGAAATAAAGAGCAGATATATACGCCGTCATTAACCCGGGTCTGTTGGTCTTGTTTGCGTTGATTGGGTTGTCAAGACGTTCACTCAGCTCAAACAGCCAGCCTAAGCATTAGGACAAGAACAAGTACAAGTATGTTAATTAAAGAAATAAATAATCATATATAGATATTTTAACAATTGTGAAACAAGATATATTGTCTTATATTAATCACTCTTGATAGCGTGAATGATAGTGCCCAAAGGGGCAAACAGTGAAAGGAAAACCAGAATTCCTTAGACCAAAAGTGATCGGACAGGTGTCCGAAATTCCTGACTCCATCGGCTGTCAAACCTCAGAGTAATAAGAAGGAATTGAACACTTGGAAAATGTTGCCACCATACCTTCTTCAAGTCCGATCGGAACATCGGCGAGTGCGTCACATTTACCTCTGTATATGAACCATTTCCCAATTTGTAATATTAACATAAATGTTTACATCATTTTCCATCTTATGTTATTTTCCAACCATCACATTGACATTTGATTACAACAGGAGATTTACCATTCCTTACAAACTTCAACCATCAGAAGATGCATGGTCACGTGCTTTGGCCATACCTAACCGTCCCGACTGATTTGAAAATTGTGACAACTGATAAGACAGTTCTAGTGTGTTCAGTCAATAGTCCAAATAGGAACATATATAATGTTTTATTCTTCCCTTTCATTATAATTGATATTATGAGATATAACAATAGTCTGATACACTAAGACCTGATAGATTTCATCATACGTAGGCCTAATTGAACTGTTCACTATAAGAATAACTCATATCTAATCAACATACATATTGTAGGCTTATCCATACGTCTCTCTAGAGTCATAACTTGGGATGGTGCTGAACTGCTATGATAAACAGAATGTCAGTCATGTATCGTACTTATATGTTTTACACCTTTCTGGCTTTAATGATGATACTGTTTATGTGATAAACATGTTTATACAAAATTGTTGATATTATTGTTACCATGCCTACCCTGTTATTCGTCAATTGATAAAATTATATAACTGGATATATGTCTTTCTTTGTTGTTCTTGGTACAGATAATATACCCAGAAACATATGTCATGTTGTGATTACCGGGAAGGAGATTATAACGTAAAGACGGTATAATTTAGAACACGTTATGTCCGGAATTAGCTTGTTGTAATATCTGCGAATTTCCCGCAAACGACTGACTTACCTGTCGTCCATTGTGGGGAACTGTGTAGAAGTTCCTGGAAACCGATGGCGTACCAGATACAAGCCAGCCAATGAGCGGTGAGAGCGAATAGAAGCATAAGTAAAGCGATAACGATAGCGCTGTACTGAGAATAACGATCAATTTTCTGGAGTAAACGGGCAAGTCGGAGCAAACGGGCGACCTTGAGCAAATGTACTGGAGTATTCTGTAAATAAAGATGTTATTTAGAATAGCAGTCAAAAAGTAGCTAAAATATTGATATTAACATCAGAAAATATTGGAGGCTAAACCGGTAATATAGACACAAGACTTTGGGTATAGCAGATACTGGGAAATCGCACATCGCCACGGACTTATAGTTATCTTCAACAGATTCATTGAACATCATTTTTATTCATATTGTTCTATTTTTTTTCATAAATACTTTGTTGGTAGTTTTCTACAAGTAATGTACCATAAATTAAAGAAAATATTTCTGTCTTGATCAATAGTCTCTGTAGGAACGTTAACATTAAAAACGACGATCGTAACAAGTATGAATAGCTATCCAAGCCTAAGAGTCAAAATTTACTTACGGTACTAATATCAATTGTATATAAAAAATCGAATGGAATAGCAGCCAGGAGATCAAGCACGAACCAGCCCCGGATGTAGTTAAGCGCCACCATGCGGCCGTCATATACAATCTGACCGCTCTTGCTAACGAAGGAGGTCCGGAAGTTTAACCCAATATCTGTTGAAAAAAATTTTAAAAGATAAAAAAAAATCTCAAAACATTTGGAAGAGAAATGCGTTCTATTTCGTTTGATAAATACGAGAACAATTTCCGTAATAGCGTATGTTATTTGACACTGACAAAAAGGTACAATATTATATGTGTACTTATTTCATCCGGTGTTTCACTTGTGGAAACACAATTTTCCTACCCTGAACAGGTGTATTACCTGTGTGAGATTTCCTTGTCTCTCATTCTAGGGTTAAGACGTTGGAGTGGCGTGTGTGATTGGTTTACCTCTAATATATATGACGTCACGCTACATAAAACTATGGAAGCCCACGGGGAAAGGTGATCAAGTTACAAAAAGCTTCATCTGTATATTTCCATTAGGAGCCTCGGGACCTGTATGCATGGTGGCATATAGCTGATGTATCATATTTTCGTTTATGTTTGTTTCCCGCGAAAAGACGACGGGAGATAACACGAAATAACAAAAAGACGAAAACCCGCCAAAGCGAAGTAACGAAAAGACCTCAACCGAGGTAAAAACCAAACCGTCTCAATGTAAAGTGAAAATGGCATCATTTTTACCTCAGTTTAGCGTCCTTTCGTCTTTTCTCATTGGTGCTTTGGCCTGATTTTTTTCATACATAATTCAGTGTTACTGAAGACACTAGATTGAGTTATTTGTATGTGGCACGATTCATAATATGTACTTTACTTTTTGTTTAGATACCCACTTATCACGGTTTTTTTGTTGTTAGAAGTGTAGAATTGTCACGTAACGAATCGTTTCAAAATTACCAAACAGAAAGCTGAAAGGAAAACAATCTTCTAAACATAGATATAGAAACACTATATTCCGTACACCGTGTTCTTATTTGGGAATGTGAATCGCTTCCTTGGATTGACGGAGATTTACATGGTGGGTGTCGTCAATGAATCAAAAGACGTTCATATTTGTTGAACATCTGGTCTTTTTCTTCCTGTATTTTTGTCAGGAATCTCCGTATGAATCTTTCTGTTGTTCATATTTTGCCTGAATTTATTCATTTATTGAATTTGAGCCAGAATAATGATTAGGTTCATATGTTGGTCTTTTCTTGCTGTTTTCGAAAAGGATAAGAAATAGTTCCATGGCAACCGGAATATAACAACACGTAAACACTGCATTGATAATAAAACATGGACAGAAACAGAACAAAAGAAATATTCTAAGTGGAGAAAGTACAAGAAAAATAAGACCAGATATCCCAGAGAGGTAAGCGTCTTTCCCTTCATCGATGACATCTTGGTGTAAATAGTTTTAAATCCACGGAAAGATACTGAGACGTTTGACTTACCAATCATAAAGAGAACTTCCACGGTAACGTCGGACGGTATGGAGCTTCTGTAGTTGTCCTCGCGGGTAAAAGCAGCGTTATATGGCACCATGATAGCGGTGTAGAATGTACACAACAGGATCAGCCAATCCCAGCCGATCTTAAATATCCCATAATGCGAAATCACATAACGGGATTTCTTCACTTCCTGAACTTTGTATTCTGGCATTTTACCGGAAATGGATTCTGTGAGCTGTGAAACATAAAAGTGGTTATTTTACTAACAGAAACATAGCGTTTACAATGGATTCACTGTCACCACTGACAGATCTTACTGATTTCAAAAAGATTCTAGCATTAACAGATTTCGTGAATTTTGGCCAAGCAATAACAGCAGATTATTTAATAGAAATTTCTTCGTTGGTGTAATATAACAATACTTTTTTTGAGAATGTGTTGCCCATTGAGGAAAAGGAAAAAATCGCTGATACACAAGTACCGTGAGAATTTCAGTAATCCACGTACCTTATTGAGTTTTTGAAGTTTACTTTTGGCTTTGTTTTGTTTCTCAAATTGTCCTGACAGATGATAAAGAACTGCTCTGCTTCTTCTCCGCTGATAGTTGCAGTTGGACGGCATGTCTGCCCGACATCGCACATTTGGCGGACGAAAATTTTCGTCGAGGTCATCTGTTGGCAAAAGTAAAGGAATTTAAACCGGAAGTTCAAATATCAACAATCACTATATCCTTGTACGTTTTGTTCAATATTCTGAAAATGCTAAGTTAATCTTATTTCGCACAGTAAGACGTCATCATTTTGTAAGGATATTCGGAACACTCTGTCTATCACCACTGCTAGTTCCTCACCTGATATGTCTTAAATTTAAACTTGTATTTTTCATACAACTACTGCCTCGTGTACTAGAGAATACCATTGGTATAGGTCTATAGTGAGGCGACCCGCAACAATGGATTTTACTTCAAATAGCTCCTTGCATTATGTACTGAATTCCTGTACAGATCGAATCTTCTCTCTCAATCTGATTATTTTTTCTTTAAGTTGAAACATTGAATGTGTGTCATGGATAAAATTTCAAGTGATTGTATGAACGTACGGTTTAAGAAGTCCACATTTATATTCAGTATAATTATTGTTTATGATAAAAGAAATATACTGAACGTGTGAATTGCTTCAATTATTCAATAACAGCTCGGGAAGGCTGAAGAAATTAAATCTACATAAACATATGATAAATGGTTAAAAATAGTAACAGGTACATTATTGGTTGTCTTCTTTTTTATTTCAACTTCAGTTTAAATGGGCAATCTTCATTTTCTTAATGTTTGATTTAAACATATTTTGTTATCAGTAGCAGGTAAATGGAAAAATGACAAGTTCTAGGAATTCTTCTCCATAAATAAAATTACAAATAATTAATATACTGCACGTGACACATATTTATACTATAAACATGAAGATAAGTAATTCGTAGACGTACAATTGTAAGTTTAAATGATTTGTCAAAAAAGGAGGAAAAGATGCTATCATAGGATAGAAAGAAAAGAAAAGAAAAAGATATAGTATTGATTTTATATCAATTCTATATCACATCAGTGCCGACTACAAACAATGCATAATTAGGTAGTCTTAATATTTCTTGAAAATAAAACTACACGCAAATCAATATACCCATTGATTAGTTTAATTCATTCGTCTGCTTTTTAAATCTAAAGTAAAAAAGATCTTCGCCTTTAAATTATCGACTTTTCATCTAATCATTTACGGCTTAAAGAAAAGAACACTATCAAAAGCTTAGTCCTTCACGTCAGTCAGTTTCCGGGTCTAAGTAGGACACGATATCGCACAGTTTGTGAAAGGTCAAGGTATTGTTTTAAGGAAACTTGCACCAGCTTCCAATAACTGATATCGCTGTTTTATTTCAAAACATTTCGGGATATCAATATTAATTAATTTTAAAGTTCTCTGATTAGAAAAAAATGAGTGGTTGTTTTTAAAGTTTGCCATAAAATCAGCTATGTGGATTTTGATTAAGGTTACCTTGATATGCTGACAATGCTCCAAACATTTCAACTCGACAACAATTTGACATGCCATTTCTATATAAGTCTACAGACATGCTTTAAATTTCTGACATAACCTTATACCACAGGGACTTGGCAGCGAATTTCAACTCCACAGTCCCTACATTGTATAGCAGAATATGTACCGCGGTGTTGAACAATTGTGTTGAATCCCTGTGTTATATAAAACAGATCTTACGTGACACTATTTATCATGATAGCACTGTCTTTTACTGCTACAACAGAATCAAGTATTTCTATATCATAAAAATCGAAAATTGAAATGTCAAGAGTTGTAGGAGAAGGACGAGGGCATGACTGTAGGAGAAGGATGAGGGCATGACTGTAGGAGAAGGATGATGACATGACTAAAGAAGAAGGATGAGGGCATGACTGTAGGAGAAGGATGAGTGCATGACTGTAGGAGAAGGATGAGGGCATGACTGTAGGAGAAGGATGAGGGCATGACTGTAGGAGAAGGATGAGTGCATGACTGTAGGAGAAGGATGAGGGCATGACTGTAGGAGAAAGAGGAGCGCCTGACTGTAGGAGGAGGCCATGACCATAGAAAGAGGAGAAGCGTATGATATATGATGAGTAGTGCATTACTGCTGTACTACAGAAGAAGAACGAGGACGATGTACACCACTTTTGTCTAACATCTAAAGTTGATAGAAACTGTAGGAGAAGGATGAGGGCATGACTGTAGGAGAAGGATGATGACATGACTAAAGAAGAAGGATGAGGGCATGACTGTAGGAGAATGATGAGGGCATGACTGTAGAAGAAGGATGAGTGCATGACTGTAGGAGAAGGATGAGGACATGACTGTAGGAGAAGGATGAGGACATGACTGTAGGAGAAGGATGAGTGCATGACTGTAGGAGAAGGATGAGGGCATGACTGTAGGAGAAGGATGAGTGCATGACTGTAGGAGAAGGATGAGTGCATGACTGTAGGAGAAGGATGAGGGCATGACTGTAGGAGAAAGAGGAGCGCCTGACTGTAGGAGGAGGCCATGACCATAGAAAGAGGAGAAGCGTATGATATATGATGAGTAGTGCATTACTGCTGTACTAGGACGATGTACACCACTTTTGTCTAACATCTAAAGTTGATAGAAACTGTAGGAGAAGGATGAGGGCATGACTGTAGGAGAAGGATGATGACATGACTAAAGAAGAAGGATGAGGGCATGACTGTAGGAGAATGATGAGGGCATGACTGTAGAAGAAGGATGAGTGCATGACTGTAGGAGAAGGATGAGGACATGACTGTAGGAGAAGGATGAGGACATGACTGTAGGAGAAGGATGAGTGCATGACTGTAGGAGAAGGATGAGGGCATGACTGTAGGAGAAGGATGAGTGCATGACTGTAGGAGAAGGATGTGCATGACTGTAGGAGAAGGATGAGGGCATGACTGTAGGAGAAAGAGGAGCGCCTGACTGTAGGAGGAGGCCATGACCATAGAAAGAGGAGAAGCGTATGATATATGATGAGTAGTGCATTACTGCTGTACTACAGAAGAAGAACGAGGACGATGTACACCACTTTTGTCTAACATCTAAAGTTGATAGAAACTATACACATGGTGAAGTATGTTTGTTGCCATCGTATTTCATCGTGTGTACATTTAACGCGTCAACCTACCGTCGCTGTCCTCTTCATCACTACTCTCCTTTTCCGGTACATCGGTAGACGAAGATCGATCTCGGCTGATGTCTTTATAGGATACCAAGAATAACACTATCTGACTCTTTTCATTCTTGATAGGTATGATGTCCAACAAACACCAAAATGTCATCCCTGAATCGATATAAAAAGTATATTATACAATTAAGTGTGGCAGCCATGATCGCGTGACCTCAACACACATGCTATGAACATTTTACATACACTACGCATATAGGATGTTTTCTCCAACACTTAAGATTGTGGTGTCGGGCGGGGGTACAATTGGGATAACAATCATCTGATTTCTGAATAATTGAAACCTCTTGTAAAGTGTAAAAACGGTGTCTTAATCATAGAGGTACATGTACTGTGACAAAGCGAATCGTCTGTGTGAAACGATTAGTCGTCCGTGTAACATAATGAATCGTCCGTGTGACAAAGTGAATCGTCCGTGTGACGTAATGAATCGTCCGTGTGACAAAGTGAATCGTCCGTGTGACAAAATGAATCGTCCGTGTGACGTAATGAATCGTCCGTGAGACAAAGTGAATCGTCCGTGTGACAAAGTGAATCGTCCGTGTAACATAATGAATCGTCCGTATGACAAAGTGAATCGTCCGTGTGACAAAGTGAATCGTCCGTGTGACAAAGTGAATCGTCCGTGTGACAAAATGAATCGTCCGTGTGACGTAATGAATCGTCCGTGTGACAAAGTGAATCGTCCGTGTGACGTAATGAATCGTCCGTGTGACAAAGTGAATCGTCCGTGTGACAAAATGAATCGTCCGTGTGACGTAATGAATCGTCCGTGAGACAAAGTGAATCGTCCGTGTGACAAAGTGAATCGTCCGTGTAACATAATGAATCGTCCGTATGACAAAGTGAATCGTCCGTGTGACAAAGTAAATGGTCCATTTCTGATTTTATGATGCAAAACAGTAAAACCGACACCTTTAGCTGAAATTATGAGTTTGCTATTTTTTCAATGCTTACCTCCTTTGCGATAAAGTAAGATTTCTGTTTTAATTTCTTCGATGTTTTCCAGTGCCTTGTCGATCTTTTCCTTTTCAGTTTCATTCGTCTTCGGTCCCCGGAGAAATTTACAGGAACAGCTTTTCCCCATCACGTGCGCTCTGGAGTATCCAGTCAGTTCGCAGAAACCGTCGGAACAGTAAACAATTGGACAGCCTGTTGCCTGGGCGTTACCGAGCACGAAGTTACTGTCTGTAATACAGATTATCATACAGTTAATATACATTTTAACATTTAACTTATTGAACTTATTTGGAAAGAGACTGTGACAATTTCTTTATTCTATTTTTTTTTCTTTTTTTTTTATCCTTTGGAAAATACTTAGATGTATAGCTTCGGTTTCAGGATCAGGTAAAACAAATAACGATTTATGTACATGCAACGCGAGTTATCTCCCTTTAGCCTTAAATAGTAAATTGCATGTGTCCATTACGATAAAGACAAAAACCAATGTAAAATACTGTAGATGAAAACAATAAGATAAAACATCTACGATGGAATATGATTATTAACGAATATAAACATGTTAAGGAAATCGTAGGTCGAATTCAAAGTCATTAGAACTATACGTGTAGGACAAAATATCAACAGAAGGAACAAGTACACGGAAAGCCTTGACCTTGAAAATTGTGTAAGAGTAATGAAACTGTGTTCCGGAGGTAAAGCGTCTTTTGCTTCATTGACGACACCGGCCTTGTAATGATTGGTCAATCTAAGTAATTAACGTTTACTAAAACCAGCAGGTTAGGTGTTGAGGGAAAGAAAATTCTAGATATATAGAAATATTACAAAACTGATCTGTCCCATCTCATACCCGCGAACACGAATATAAACACTGTAGTGAATGCAACTGACCAGTTGTTTGGTTAACACTGTATTTACATGAAAAGTAAAGATTCAATCTTACTTACTTCACTAGAGCATGTATGTAGCTCGGTATGGTAATATCACTTAAAGTATTTAAATGTGGGAAAGGTAGCGTCATAACTAAGTTATATAATATCCGATTTTATCCCCCCCTCTCTCTCTCCGTTTTCATTCCGGCAACATGTCTGTGGTTTCTTGACTACTTGCCGCCGATACAACCTGCCAAAAAGGGACGATATACGTCTGAGCTTTATAGGCCGGGTTTGAAAGTCTATGTTCTTTAAAGATATTGTTACGTTGCTGTCATGTGTGTATTTAATTATATTCAATAAAAAGAAGTAAATCCTAGACTAGCAGTTATGTCCAGTGAGTGGCAGTGTCCCAGTTTGGCTTTTTCCGGTTTATCCAACACATAAATCTGACGGTTTACTTAATCACAGCTCGCGCTGTGAACAGTTTGAAGGATACAATAGAGAGGTTAATTGCGCGTAATTACAATTATTATCTCAGAATTGCTGAGTATTGCCAGTTCCAATAAAAATCTTCATGGCGAAATTGATGTTAAAAAAGCAACACATGCTGACGAAGAAGGCTGTAAACCTTTCATGGAAATGATCTCGCTCGGCAAATTATATGATGTCTTGCGATGTATTGACAGAATAATAACTCTTCAGAAAGAGACTGGGCGCCGCAGACCACATATCTAATCTCCGGCAATGTCGACAAGACGCACCGTAATTGAGTTATGGAAACTGTTTCCCTTTCAAGTTTGTTGTCTCTTCTTTATTCCTCAACACGATACTAACTTGAAGGACCACCTTGACACAGATTTTACGACCACTTTTCATGTTTTGCTTTTTTCAGTGAGACGTTTCGTGTTCAGAAACACAATATAGTGAACAGGGATGAGAGTGTTCCAAAAGGTTGTTGTAATAAAATTTACACTGGATTAATCAATTCAAATTATTATGAATGTTACTGTACAAACCTCCACCCATCCACTAATCACATAGATATGTGTGGTTACTTTGTACGTGTCCGCCTTAATGCCTGTGTTATACGGTGACGTTTAACGCCTTATTTCCATTTCGTATGAGTAGAACAGGTGATTTGATTAGTAATCGTTGACGTTAGCGAGATGATTTAGAAGAAAAAAGAAGTTGTTGTTACGTTTTTGAAAGTACAATTGGTCTGTATATTATATCATTAAGGACAGAGGGGGTCACTGTGTTGTCGTGTTTAACAACAGAAAGTTGTATTATATGGGAAGCAGGGGGTCCTTGTGTTGTCGTGTTTAACAACAGAAAGTTGTATTATACGGGAAGGAGAGGTCACTGTGTTGTCGTGTTTAACAACAGAAAGTTGTATTATACGGGAAGCAGATGGTCCTTGTGTTGTCGTGTTTAACAACAGAAAGTAGAATTATACGTTAGGAGGGGTTACTGTGTTGTCGTGTTTAACAACAGAAAGTAGAATTATACGTTAGGAGGGGTTACTGTGTTGTCGTGTTTAACAACAGAAAGTTTTATTATACGGGAAGGAGAGGGTTACTGTGTTGTCGTGTTTAACAACAGAAAGTAGAATTATACGTTAGGAGGGGTTACTGTGTTGTCGTGTTTAACAACAGAAAGTTGTATATTATACGGGAGGAGAGGTTTACTGTGTTGTCGTGTTTAACAACAGAAAGTTGTATTATACGTTAGGAGGGGTTACTGTGTTGTCGTGTTTAACAACAGAAAGTTGTATTATACGGGAGGAGAGGGTTACTGTGTTGTCGTGTTTAACAAAAGAAAGTTGTATTATACGTTAGGAGGGGTTACTGTGTTGTCGTGTTTAACAACAGAAAGTTGTATTATACGGGAGGAGAGGGTTACTGTGTTGTCGTGTTTAACAAAAGAAAGTTGTATTATACGTTAGGAGGGGTTACTGTGTTGTCGTGTTTAACAACAGAAAGTTGTATTATACGGGAGGAGAGGGTTACTGTGTTGTCGTGTTTAACAACAGAAAGTTGTATTATACGTTAGGAGGGGTTACTGTGTTGTCGTGTTTAACAACAGAAAGTTGTATTATACGGGAGGAGAGGGTTACTGTGTTGTCGTGTTTAACAACAGAAAGTTGTATTATACGTTAGGAGGGGTTACTGTGTTGTCGTGTTTAACAACAGAAAGTTGTATTATACAGAAAGTTGTATTATACGGGAGGAGAGGGTTACTGTGTTGTCGTGTTTAACAAAAGAAAGTTGTATTATACGGGAAGGAGAGGTCACTGTGTTGTCGTGTTTAACAACAGAAAGTTGTATTATACGGGAAGGAGGGGGTTCACTGTGTTGTCGTGTTTAACAAAAGAAAGTTGTATTATACGGGAAGGAGAGGTCACTGTGTTGTCGTGTTTAACAACAGAAAGTTGTACTATACGGGGAGGAGGGGGTTACTGTGTTGTCGTGTTTAACAACAGAAAGTTGTATTATACGGGAGGAGGACTGTGTTGTCGGTTTAACAACAGAAAGTTGTATTATGTCACTGTGTTGTCGTGTTTGACAACAGAAAGTTGTATTATACGGGAGGAGAGGGTTACTGTGTTGTCGTGTTTAACAACAGAAAGTTGTACTATACGGGGAGGAGGGGGTTACTGTGTTGTCGTGTTTAACAACAGAAAGTTGTATTATACGGGAAGGAGGGGGTCACTGTGTTGTCGTGTTTGACAACAGAAAGTTGTATTATACGGGAGGAGGGGTCACTGTGTTGTCGTGTTTGACAACAGAAAGTTGTATTATACGGGAGGAGGGGTCACTGTGTTGTCGTGTTTAACAACAGAAAGTTGTATTATACGGGAGGAGAGGGTTACTGTGTTGTCGTGTTTAACAACAGAAAGTTGTACTATACGGGGAGGAGGGGGTTACTGTGTTGTCGTGTTTAACAACAGAAAGTTGTATTATACGGGAAGGAGGGGGTCACTGTGTTGTCGTGTTTGACAACAGAAAGTTGTATTATACGGGAGGAGGGGTCACTGTGTTGTCGTGTTTAACAACAGAAAGTTGTATTATACGTTAGGGGGGGGGTTACTTTGTTGTCGTGTTTAACAACAGAAAGTTAGCTATTTCAACTTCAATTATCTAACATGGCTCGAAACACATTATTCTCGTATCTCATTGAAAGGCAGTCTCAATCAGTCCTAACTTAATTATACAAGCATTCGTAGACATCAATTGGGGTCGTTAAACAAACGACACTGAAGGACAAAAATCAATTTATCATGTCAATACCGTTACAGACAGTGGAAAACAGCGTACACACTGAAGAAAGTGGTGTTTGCACTAGACGACTGTAAATAGTGTATAACGCATTTAAATTGACACCTAGGTAAACAAGTCTTCATTCTAGCTTTAACTAACTTGTCTATAGGATCGATTTGACTAGACGTTTAGTCAATCGTTAGTCTGGGTAAACTCGGCTTCTATACCTGGAGCCGGAAATACATCACTACAGACATTGACATATCGGTATGTCAAACTGGTGTTCCGGTATGTGAGCTCTAACTGGAACCGGATGTGGTATCATGCTTTTCCCTCCATTCAGTTGATGAGGTATACGTGAATGGCTATAGAAACATAAAGCTGGTAGACAGAAATTAGCCCGAGAAAATATCAATCAACGGTATACTACACGTGATTTTGTATGATGTCGTCTGTCTATCTGTTATAAACACTCAACAGACCAGGACAACGATGCTTGTAAGTGTAATTACATAGCCTTGACCACTTGTGCCTTAAACATCCAGACGTACCTTTATATCGGGCAGCAATGATAAAAAAACACAATGCCCACTGCTTTTTTACTTTACTGTTTGACTGATTCATTGTACTTATACAGAAATCAGATTTCCCGTTATCAAATACTGAGCACAAATGTCCGCTAGCTAACCTCTACAACTGTATCACTCAATTGGGCTTTTCCTTCGGGACTTCCGTGCGTTCGGAAATCCCTGTTAGTTACCAGTCCTGGGTGTTTTCTCTTAAATACTGTGAGCAAAGATATTAACGAATGAAATTCAATTGTATGAGAATTGATGAATCACTTCTGATGCTAACAGATATTTCAGTTACATCCTCCTACTGAGTAAGGCATATCTGCTGGATCCTCTCCTACGTGTTCGTAAACTCCCTCTGTAATTCCGACGCTATTGAACCCTTCCATCCGTCCCCTGACGAATCAGAAGGTTGTTTCTTTTAAAACGCAACCGCTAAACCAATAGCTTTTTAGAAAAAGTCCTGTCACTGAGCTTCTGTAATTTTACAAGACTCCCTCCAGAACGTGTCAATAGACTTT